TGTACAGTGTACATGTACCGGTACGTACTGGAACATGGATGCCGGCATTGGGAGGATGCAGGTCCTCAGGCATGGGCCCCATCACTTTGTGGATTCCATGTCAACACATGCACACAATTTGCTTACATTTCTGGGTTACCAGAGGTCAACCCACGATATATCCCTTTGACAAGCGTGTTGATGGGAACAGAATCTGCCGTATATGCACGGGCGGGCGGGGATTTTTTTCCAGTGGAGGAAGGGAAGTCCTGGAAAAAAAAAAAAGGCCGTGGATGGATGGAACAAGATCACCTACGTGCCTGGGAACGGAAATTTTATTAACTCGGAACGAGGAGATGAAACTTAGTGTTACATGCACTCGGGTGGGGGTGTTAGGGGCAATAACACTGACAACAGAGAGTTTATTGTGTCATGCCATTGTCCATCCCCCTATAAAATGTAACCCCCTCTGCAAAAAAGGCCCTTAAGTCATGCTCTGCCTCTGTACATGTATGTACCAGACCATCCCAAACACATACATCTGCCAGAGATCAATTCTAAGTTTTACTGTATTTCGGGAATAGAATGTGTGACAGAGGTCAAAAATGCACAAATTTAATTCTTATTTTTAAAAGGCTTCTCCCTCCGTGGGCATCACTTAAAATCGATTTGTCACACGTAAGCCCAAGGGCCATTTTTGCAGAGCTAGTCACAAATATTCCCCTGGAAAAGAGGTTTGTTACTTTTGAGTGTAAAATGGTTCTACGTGTTGTGAATGTGGTTTGGAATTTAATTCAATCCACTTGGTAAACAGAGACATTTTCCTGAATTGCTCTCAGGATGACAAAAACCCTGGGCATCCTTTTTGTGGTACACCTGTCAAATGTAAAAATATTCAATCTGGGCATGGCTCCGAACAGATCGTTTTATTGATATCATTGTCGATTTCGGTACCACAGGAATGAATTTAGAGTCCAGGATTAACCCTAACAGTCCTCAGTCCTCCAACAGGTGAAGGACTGAGGACTGTTAGGGTTAATGGAAGTATTGGCATTAAGGTAGTTTTGGGCAAAGGCTCAATTTTAAGTTGGAAAGTACATGTACATGTTTTGGCCACCCATGATTTTCAATTGTAAGTCAGCCAGTACCAGTACTTATTCTTTCAGATCCTTCGTCAGATTGCTTTTTAAGAACTAAACAAAGCAATGACTGTGTGAATGCAAGGACAGGTGTCTTGGTGGAATTTGGCAGTCAACCACAAATTGACAAAGTTGGCTGGGTGGTAGGAGGGGGCAGTCGCTCTGCACAAATACAGCATTGAGCTTTAGCAGAGGAACAACAGATAATGTCCTGTCTGCTGTCTACTGTTACACTGGGATTACATGCCTTGAAGGATCAGACCCAGAAATCATAACAGGATGAGTCTTGGAGCCGACAAGGGGATTTGAAGCTCTGCCTGTTGGAGGGGTCAGACCAAAAGAGAGGGCTCACTTACTTGTTGATCTCCCCCCCCCGGAACGCATGTTTCACAAAATTGTCAGTATTCATGAAATGTTAAGGTGTCTTCAAAATCTGTTTGTCATTCCTTGATATACAGTACATGTACATGCTTATGTACCCCGAACTTTCACCTTTTCCTTGTCATTTTTAAAACTTCAAAGTACTGTGTAATTTTTGAGGGGGGGTACCAGTGCAGTAATTTTTTTTTCTGGGAAAGCTGGAGATTGAATGTCTATTTTTCTGTGTTCCTCCAGGGTCGCCATGTCAAGACGGGTCAGCTGGCAGCCATCAAGGTCATGGACGTCACAGAGGTGGGTCAGCTGCAGATTTACTTGAAGGGTCGAACATCCCTCCCCTTTTATTTTTAACAGCATTGGGCCTGAACTGTGTGGAATGCATTTGCTGTAATCATGGTTTTTCTTACAACTCCTTTTGGACGGTGAAAATCACACACCAGTGGGCTTGTAAATCCAGTTCAAATTTACGTGTACCTCTGGATCCTTGGTACATGTTGTCTTTGCTTTGATGGGCACAGTTTTCTTTCTTCTTTGGAGGAGATCTGGCATTTTTTGACAATGGAAGAGGACACGTTCTCTGATGTTTCACAAGGAGAGGTGTCCTTGAAGTAAGGGTTGCTCTTACACGTGTGGTTCACCTAAGCAAAAAGTGAAGATATTTTTGTGGGGTTTAGAAGCGCAAGGAGGCCTTGCAGCTGTCAAGAGGTTTGTAGGTACATGTACATACCTACATGTACCAGACAAAGAACGTTGGGAGATCAGAGGTCTTGCTCCTCACATATTTGACGCAGGGTTTTTCCAACTGTTGTGTGGGAGGGATGGGAATAGGAGAGGTAATCACTGGTCCTTGACGTAACCCTCTGTACCCTTGTGTGATAGATCATTCTTGGGTGGCGTCTGGGAACATACTGGTACATGTATTGAAGTTCAGTGACATGTGAACTTGGTTGCTGAACCACAAAGTGGGAAAGGTCTCTTGGACTTGTTCATTCATCATCGTAGTTGGCAGGGTTGTGTCGTCCTCAAACAAGTCCGTGATGAAAAGTCAACCAGTTAAAGTTAGAGGGTGGCCGTGTGCAGCCAGTCCCTGTAGAATGATCGTAACCGGTAGGAATATGGAAAATAATGAGCGTTGGATTATTTGGAGCCTTGGTTTATGATTTTACACCACACGCGCGCATGTGCTGTGCCAGTATTCCCAATTTCTTAGATGTGGTAAAGGTACTCTAACAAACGTGCTTACTGGGGAGGCTGACTTTTTTTGCTGAGCATGAAACTGGTGGGACTCAGCCGGTCACAGGTAATGTACATGTACATACCTGGGGACATTTTAGCCGTGTTTGCTAAGTGAACGGTTTCTATACTTAGCAAAGTTGTGCTTATAAAACTATCCTTGGCATTGGTTCACAGTCATTTAAATACCAGGTAGCCAGTTGCCTACACTAAAGGGCAAGTTCAACTTTCAAGAGGAAATACCCTTATACAGGAGCCTACAAGTGCATTGTACCGGTACATGTACCCGTATATTCTTGTATTGACCTTGGGTCAGCAATCCCCTGGATTTAAAGGCTCAGCCAAAACAACTGTTGGGTCTGCCGAGGTCATGGCAGGTCAGGCAGGGTCTGAGTACAGGGGGTGGGTCAGATGAAAGTTGGTTTTTTTTTTTATTGATAGAGTTTGTAACCCATTGTCCAAAACAGGCATTGCTCTCTATGGCTACTCTGCACATGTGAGGTTATGGCTTTTGGCTATGAGGTTATGGCTTTTGGCTGTGAGGTTATGGCTTTTGGCTATGAGGTTATGGCTTTTGGCTATGAGATTATGGCTTTTGGCTATGACGTGCTGAAGGCGAGAACCGAGTCACAGCGGCAGAATGCCCAATTGAGACACGATCTAAAAATTTTAAGTATTTGGTTGCACCTTTTGCAAAGAGACTTACATTTATAAGGCAGAGTTTAAACAAATTAATTCTGCAGCTTGTGTGGGATCAAAGGTCATTTTGCTTGACGGCATACATGTACATTTATTTCTGTCGTATACATGTACATGTAATTTGCAAACAAAATACACGTAGTTTCTTAAAGTCCAACCAAAAAGGGCTTCAAGTATTTCAACATCTAGGGTTGGGGAGGTAGATTGGCCACTCCAAAAACCAGTATGCGACAAATTGATCTGTCAAAAATTAACTGCACAAGAACTCCGAATGCCTCTACTACAAGACTCGTGTGTCGAGATGCACCCTGTTTATGGCTGTATCACCCCATGATGTTTTGAGGTCACTAGTATCATGAATACATAATGAGTGTTTCTAAAATCAGCAAAAAGGAAGTCGCAGAAACCCACTTTTGGACTTTTTTTTGGCCAGAAATGGGAAAACCGTTCCATATTTTCTTGTTAATTTGGGAAGATGGTCTTTTCAGCTGTCTAAAGGTTATAATTGGGGAAAGAAGGATTTTGTTTCAATGCCTCTTTAAGGAGAAAATCATCTGTGTCGGACATTCCTCTCTAGAGAGACAGATATTCAGAATCATAGTGAAAAATTGATGTTAAAAGTTCAATGACCTTTTAATAACTCATGAATCACATGACCCAAAGCGCTTAAACCTGGGTGTTGGAGATTTCTCATACGACCAAACAATTCCAGCACATTTCAAGAAACTCTGTGAGATGGACCCCAAGAAGTGTTAGATTTGACACGGAATGACCCATCAGCCACTCAACCATGGAAGCTTTGAGGCCACTTTGCAATATGTGTATATTTGCGCCAGTATCTAGGAGGTCCTGAATTTCAGTCCCGTCTGAGCCAGCTTGTGAATTTCTTTTTCTATTCTCACTGGCGCTCCGAGGAAAGCACCGGTACTGTGCACACAGCGACATGCAAGAACAAAACTGATCATTGGAAATGTATGAGAAGGGTCATTCTATAAATTTGGGGTCCAAAGCGTGATATTTTTCCGTTCCGGGTGCCTCTGACATGTCTACCATCAGACATGTTTGACGAGGGATGTATCACTGAAATTGATTACAAACTGTTTTTATTTGTTTGGCAGGTACATGTAATTTGCAGGGCTTATTCAGTATTGGAAATTAAACATTGAGTTCTAAACATTAACAATCACATGCCAGACGTAACAGGGACGGGAAAAAAATTGGACCCCAAATTTACAGAATGACCCAGAACTGAGGCACGCTGATAGTTGATGCCGCTGTTGGAATTTTGATATGGCAGGACGGTTTGCTGCACCCCTGCGATAAAATATCTCAGCTTCATGGAAATAGAGAGGGCCAGGCCATCTGGAAACGCAGCCCAGATATTCATTGCAATGTTGGAACTTGATACGTGGCCCCGAATTACAAGGCCTACATATATACATGTACCAAGACTGAATACTTAACAGTGATGCATGCTCATGACAGGGTGTCTACATGTTTATTTATGCTCATGCACAGTACACAAATACATGTATTTTGGGACTACCAGTAGCGTATAGTACCGGGATAGGCCTTGGTGCAGCCACACAGTTTTCTGACATCAAAAGCACTGTACATGTACTGAGGCTTGAAGTCAAGAATAGTCTGTTCCTTGTATCAGCTTGTAAAGTTGCATTTCTTTGGCTATTTGGTCTGTGGGGGCAAGACAAAAATGGCAGCATCCTGATCGAGGTCTACACCTTCTTTTTTGTGTTTGGGCTCACACGCACAGTCAGTATTCCTGTGTGGTCTCAGATTAGCTGTGCTGTCTGGTACATGTACAAGGCAACTGCCCATCCATACCATGGGGCTGTTTGTAGTTTAACGTGGCGATTGAAATTCTTGGCCGAGGATTGGAAAAAATATGAATATTGAAAATACTCAGCAGCAAGGAAAGCAACTTTGGGTTGTTGAATGTTTGAAAGCCTGATTGGAAAGGACTTATAGAGTTTACATGTAGTGATGTGTAATTCATGCTGTCATCCATGGCACACCCACATGTACAATACATGTATGCACATGCAAACTCTTTATAAAATGAACACAGCATCAGACAATACAAATCTATGTACAAACTATGTACAGTGTACATGTACATGTAGGTCCTACATGCACAGTGTAGGTATATGCATGGCGTGCACGCCCGCACCTGTGCATTGTAAATATAATTAACTTTATGCATCATTGTGGCTTCAGGCCATTGTCTGTTGTTCTTGGAAAAGGAGATAACGGCTTAGGCTGGGAAATCAAGGGCCCCCTGCACGGACGGCTGGATTAGACGAGGGCAACGATCGATTTTGACCCAAAGACTTTACCCGCACAGATGTTCATTATGCATTCCATTAAAGGTGTGCACGTCAGTGTGGCAAAATGCCATTGAATTTTTTTATACAAGTTCATGGTACCCACAGGTACAAGTATGGGTAATGTAGAGTGCCCTGTGCCATTTGTCTGGCCTTTCATGAAGCCTGGGTCATTAGTATCATTTGCGGATCTTCGAAAAACTATAGTAGAATCTCAATCGTAACTTTCCACATGTACATGTAAAACTGAGATATATGTACATGTAATTTTATGTGGAATGCATGTACATGTGCATGTGCGTATATACGTACAGTATGTACCGGTACATGTAAGCCCTGATTAACTCTGACTTTAGAATATCCTTCAAAATCCACTGGGATCTTTTGGAAGATTTTGTGGGATTTAGGAAGGTTCAGTCCAGCCATTACTAATTGTACCGGTACATACATGTATGAGGCATGTGGACATTTTTAATTTTGGCTGGTGAGCATTGTATTTTTCTGCCTTCTTTTTCTCGGTGTTGTGGTAACTTTTGGGGATCTTTTATGCGAGTATGCAGTGCACGGGCTGCATTATTCTCAGTTTGACGGCAAAAGACCTGCAAACACAATCATTAATCATTGGCCCAGTGCCCAGTTGTAATGGTAAGAATTGTTCCTTTTGTCTCTTGAGTCGTGCTCCACTGAACCACACAACTATTTACCCTCCAATATTGCAGGAGCCACTCCATAGTTACTCAAGGAAAAAAGTGAGAAAACCTGCAGCGAGGATGTTCATGTGTAGTAGTGAACGGCAGACAAGCGTGGGGGGGCATGAATGAACAAAGATGGCGCAGGAGCGCAGACAGACAAATCACGTGCAAAAGCCATTAGTGGTTCTACAAGTCTTTTGATTTCAAAGTGCATACAGTACACATGTGTGTATATATGAACATGATTTGTCTGCCATATGCGAAACGTTGGCATGTGCCATAGCAAAATAGGCATGCACACTGTGCATGTATGTAGCATGCACATGTA